ATGGCCGAAGCAAACATATCCACAAAAGGTATCACTTTATTAGGGAATGCATTCAAAATGAATTAGTTGAAGTAGAACACATTCCGGGAGAAGAACAAAAGGCTGATATTCTTACAAAGGCTCTTGGACGAATCAAATTTAAAGAGATGAGAGAACTTGTTGGAGTTCTAGATGTGAAGGAAGAAGTTCTCAAGCTTAAGGGGGTGAATGTTGAGCTAAGTTTGAGATAAAGCTTTAAGTTCTGTGGTTAAAGTTAACTTGAGATATGAGTTAACTTGAGGATAAAGATAAGAGAGATTAGGAGTTATCTAAACCGTGTGAAAATATCTTTGTAAAACCCTAGGCGAGTTATGTCTAAGGTTGGTCATATCTTGTGTTTAAAGTCGGTCTTGTTTTGTATATATATGAGATACCATTGTGTGGTAATCCATATGAGTTGTGTATGAGTTTGTGAGAAAGAGATTGAGATTGTGAGTGTATGGTTTTGAGTTAGTTTCCATATCAATAAAAGAAAGGTTCTTTTATACTCATAGTTTCATCTTGTTCATAGGGTTTGATACAATATAGATCTTGCACTTCAAGTTGACCTTTCGACCAACTTCTCTTCTGTTAATTGCATTTCGATCAATTTCATAATCTTATTTTTCTTTTCCATTGTGATCTCTGATTTAAACTGAAACTTTGGCTATATTCCTCGATTGATAGCAATAACCAACGCTTAATACCACTTGTTCAAATATGCGTTGCCTAATTACCACTTGACACTTCACGATCACTTCAAGAGAAAGAACAAACACAGAAACTATACAACTCGCGAGTTTTTTTTTTTTTTTTTTTTTGTATGAATGTAAAATTTATTCACCAAAAAAAGACGGTTTTACAATAAATGCAACATCAAGCTGAAAAAATCTGAGTTTTTGAGAGAGATTATAAAGAAGAGAAAACTAGCGACTATGGGTTAAGAACCAATATCGCAGTCCGCCTTCATAAGTGGGTGAGCCCGTCGTAATTAAGGTGCTCAGCCGGTTACGAACGTTCTTGTCGATCAGTTTTGCTAGCATGGATGCTGGGGTTGGTGGCTCGCCGTGTCGTCTCCCATTCCGTTCTCGCCAACTCGCGAGTTTTACGTAGAGTTCCTTGGAAATCATTGATGATCCTTGAATATGTCATGGCTGTATTTTCAGCAAGCAATCCGCTAGATTCTTTAGGAGTTACAAGTGATAATTTTGTAGGAAGAGTCAAGAGCTAGAGAGATATACAGATCAAAATGAATGAAATTGCAAATACGTTAAATTTGTCGACTGACCAAACTGCTTGGACCGCGTTTTCGAATTTTTATAGATTTTTAGAATTAAAAAATGGACAACATATTGAAAATATATCACAAACGAAACAAAATGAGAAGACAACAAAAATATATGTTCGATCCAAATCTGAAGAAAATAAATGGTAACATATTAAATAAAACTTGCTCTCCATAATGCAACATGAAAAATAATCGTCGAATATGTTAAATTTGTTGTTCACATAATCATAAAGCAAAAAAAAAAAGAGCACAATGAAGAAAATAGATAGAAAATTTACAAATTTTAATCCATATAAAAAAAAATGTTTTCACAATTAAAATTGGATATCAAAGAATAGGATGGTGGATTTAAATTGTAATTCTAACTTAACTTAAAAATCTTAATTAACCAAAATTGGACTTGAGTATTGTGAATTGAGTTTTGATATCGAACCCGTTCACTAGGTTTGACGATTTTTAATTGGTTTTAGTGTTCAACTCAAATTTGATTTTTGCTCAACTGGACTCGGATATAGGGACGATTCCCAGTGTACCGGCCTGTCCGATATGGTATTCAAAACATAATGATCAAGTTTTATATATATTGTGTACCTCTGACGATATGTTATAATTGTTTGTTTGTCTATTGTAAAGCCCTTTAGGGTATCTTGTTTATGTAATGATCAAGTTTTCTTCAATAAAAAAATAAAATAATGATCAAGTAGCAAAAAGAATATTGGTTTCACATGTATTTATTCAAGTCTTATATTTTATAACAATATTCGTTCACATGTAAGTCATTCGAGTCTTTTTTTGCTAAAGTGCAAATATCATATAAAATGAAAAGTTTGGTTTTACAACCTATACATTGGTTTCTTGGCAAAAAAGAGAAAAACAAGAAAGCAATACAATTTAGATAGAAAGTCTATGTCAATGCAACCAATGACTCATGAGGTTCTTGAAACGCTTCTTGAGTCGTCTTGCAGTGATGGAGTTCTTTATCTCTCGGTCTATCTCCTTAAAGACGAGCGAAGGCAGGATATAAGTCTGGTTGTGCAGGAGGTTGTTCCTCTGTTTCCATACGGAATATATGACAGCTTGTGCAACTAACTTTCGGAGAGTTGGCGGAGAGTTGACATGCTTAGTCCTTGTCCAGTCGATTAATTCTGACCAATTAGAGAAGGAGATCTGAGGAAGTTGCAGCCTTAAACTAACAGCATTCCAGATAAACAAAGCAAAGTCACAAGATAATAGAAGGTGGTCCCTGCTTTCAAGATGTAGAGAGCAAAGGCCACAAGTTGGATCAATGTTCATCCCCCAACCTGAAAGTCTAGTTTTTGTCGGTAGACGATCAAGATTGGCAGTCCACATAGTGAATGCATGCCTTGGAGTGGCTCCCTTGAACCAGACCGAGCTGAACCAAACCACAGAAGCCGCTCTTGGCCGGAGAACAGCCCACGTAGCTTTGGAAGAGTACCCTGCGTAAATTTTTCCTTCAACAGCCCAGTCATAAGTATCTTTTTCCTGAGTAACTGAAGGCAGGCTAATGGTAGTTAGATAAGAATGGAGACGCAGTGATTCTTCAGTCCTGGGGTCCGCGAGAGACCAACCATCTTGGTTACAAGCATCACAGACCTTAGCATTCAAGGATACCCGTAGATTCCTCGGGCCTTGAGTTCGATAAGAGGACCAAAAGGAGTCCAGTTATCAAACCAAAAACTGGCCCTTCTACCATTTCCAATGGTACATTTGACAAAATTTCCAGCCAAGTCTCTCAGCTTTAAAAGACACTTCCAATTCCAAGAATTACTGGCCTTTTCAGGTTGATTCCAGAAGCTAGTAGTGGAGCTGAGATTGTGATGTAAATGCCATGCCACCCATAAGGAGCCGCTTGTCGAGAAGAGAAGCCAAATCATTCTAAGGCATAGTGTTCTGTTCCACACTGCAAATCGCCTAAGCCCCAGCCCTCCTTCTTCTTTAGGCAAACATACCTGAGACCATGAAACCTTCGCCATGCCTTTAGTATCAATCCTGCCCGACCATAAAAACCTTGAACAAAGAGATTCAATTTTTCTAATGCAGCCCAAAGGTAGAATAAAAGCTGAAATCCAAAAGTTGACCAATCCAGAAATGACAGATGCAATCAATTGGATCCTCCCTGCGAAAGAAAGAGATTTCACAGCCCAAGTATTAAATCTAGCAGTGATCTTTTCAATCAGCGGAGCATATTCAGCGACTTTAAGTTTTCTACTCATCAGCGGGAGACCTAAGTATCTTATAGGTAAAGACCCATGTGTGAATCCATAGCTTGCCAAAACTGTGGATTCAAATTGGCTCACACCTGCATGAAAGAGTTGTGTTTTCTCCCGGTTCATTTGCAGTCCAGACCATCCAGCAAAGTCTTCAAGAGTCTCATAAATGCCATGAAGCGAAGAGCTACCACCGTCGAAAAAGATCATAACGTCATCAGCGAACATCAGATGAGAAATCTCCAACTCCGACGTTTTAGGATGATAAGAAATATAACCAGAGGAGTATCTGGAGTGAAGAAGACCAGAGAACACTTCCATTGCCAATACAAACAGATAAGGTGACATTGAATCGCCTTGTCGCAGACCCTTAGAACTTTTGAAAAATCCACCTGAGATTCCATTCACGGAGACAGAAAAACTGGCAGTAGATAAACACTCGTAGATCCAACCAATGAACTTCCTTGGCATGTTGATAGCTGTAAGAGTAGCAATGATAAAATCCCATCTCATTGAGTCAAAAGCCTTCCTTAAATCCACCTTTAACATTGCACTAGGAGCAACATCCTTCTTATTATAACCTTGAACAATTTCAGTTGCAAGAAGCACATTCTCCAACAACAGACGTCCCGGCAAAAAAGCTGATTGGGAATGACTGATAATAGAGGAAAGAATGTCCTTCAGTCGTCTGGCCAGTAACTTAGAAATAACCTTGTAAACAATGTTAAGGCAAGAGATGGGTCTAAAATCAGACATTTTGGATGCATTTGGGATCTTGGGGATAAGGACAAGGTTGGTGGCATTCAACTGTTTGAGCATCTTCCCCGACCTAAAGAATTCCATGACTGCATCTGTAATTTCAGCTCCCAAAACAGACCAGCAAGAGCAGAAAAATTCAGAAGTGTACCCGTCAGGGCCAGATGCTTTGTTTTTAGGCAGCGAGAAGAAAGCATCACGGATCTCCTTAGCAGTGAAAAGAGAGTCCAGGGCTCCTTGCTGTTCCTCATTACACTTGAATTGTAAGAGGTTAGTAATGTCTTCTTGAATGAAGTTAGCCTGACCCTGAACGCCACCTAAAGTATTCATGAAGTACTCAACACAATGGTTATGGATTCCGGACTGAGTAATGCGACTACCATTTACATCGATGAGATAGTGTATGTGGTTGATTGCCTGTCTAGCAGAGGCCATTTTATGGAAGTAGGAAGTGTTTAAGTCTCCTTCTCTTAGCCATGAAACCCTAGACCTCTGTAAGAAAAAACTTTCCTCAGCAGTAGACAATATCTGCCATTTCCTGTTCAGCTCAAACTCAAGCTCAGCATTAAGAATAGTCGGGGAGCTTAGCAGTCTGTTTTGAGCCCTAATTAAACTCTCATGCGCCTCCTGCGTTCTTTTCTCCAAATCTGAAAAATTTTGTCTGGCAAACTCCCTGATAATATGTTTAAGAGCTTTCAGCTTCTGGGAGACTCTAAACATAGAAGACCCCACTGAGTTAAAAGAAAACCAATGAAGGCAGACAAGAGGAAGGAACTCCTGATTTTTCAGCAAAAATTATAGAATCTGAACGGCTTTTTTCTTCGGGGAGAGGCAGTCTCCAACCTTACCTCACAACAAGCATGATCTGAGAAGCAAGGTTCTCCAAACTGACCTAAGGAGGAAAGGAAGAGGGAGTTCCACTCATCGTTTACCAGAATACGGTCAAGCTTCTTAGCAACAGGAGCACTCTTCCTTTTATTCCACCAAGTAAAAGTATTGCCTCTAAAATTAAGATCAACCAAACCGGAATTCAAAAGGGAGTCTTTGAAAATTCTTATAGGCGAATCAACATTAGCATCAGTGGCAATAGAGTGTTCACAGGGATGCAAGATTTGATTAAAATCTCCCAACACAATCCAAGCTTTTCCGTTGACACGACTGTCAATTGACAAATTTTCCAATTCAACCCACAAAGACTGACGGGAAGAATTATCATTGGCTGCATAGATCGATGAAATAACCACAGTCTCTGCGCAGTCTGGTAGCTGAACTTCATAACTGATCATCTGAAGAGACTTAGAAATAACAACAGCCTTGACGCTAGGGTGCCAAAGAACCCAGATCTTACCCAACTCCAAAAAATCATAATTATTATCAAAAGACCAACCTGGCATCATTGCATTGAGGAATTTTTGTTGCTTAGGTTGTTTCACATGAGTCTCCACGAGACTACCAAAAAGAGGAAGACGGTTCCTAAACCATCTTCTAAAACCGCGTCGGTGAGAGGAAGAATTTAACCCGCGGACATTCCAACAAAAGAGGTCTATACACATATAGATTAATGGGATTTGGGGCCCTTGCCCCTCGCACTTCGCTGCTGTCGCTGAGACAACACCTCCGTGAATTTCGCTTCGTCTTCTAAATCAATATCTTCGTCCTCAGAGTGATCAGAAGGAACATCGGAGGAGTCTGGTTCCTCTTCAGACGACGACTTCCCTTCAACAGTCTGAGATATCTTTCCTTTACCTTTCCCAATGGGAACCTGAACAGTACTTTGGCCTTTACCAGAAGGGAGAGTCGCTTGACCGCTTGAGCTAGCTCCTGATCCACTGACATTTACAGGGGGACGTTGAGTAACTTTGTGGGAGTCAAGAGAAAGGACCTTATTTTGGGATCCAACAACAACCCAATCACCATCCTTAGCTGCTGGATTAGGAGTTTTAGATCTCCTTCTTCTATGTTTTACGTTCTGGGGCTGCGGCTTGTTTCTTGGACAAAACTCATCGGAGTGTGAAGTAGAGTTACAGCCTTTACACTTGATGGGGGCAGCACGACACCTTTTGATACTATGTCCCACTTCCTTGCAATGGGAACATACTGGAGGCATCCAAGGACTTGAGACCTCCACTCTGCAAATGACTCCTGAATCAAACTGCACGTTAACTGCTTCGGGTAGTGGCTTCCGCGGGTCGATAATAGTGAAGACTTTAGCAACCTCCAGATTTCTCTTGCAAGCTGTATCGGGGTGGAGAAATCTTGGGTCGCCAACCAGACTAGCAATGTGTTCCAATCCATCATCGTTAAAGAATTGGAATGGGACTTTCCTTAGCTCAAGCCATATAGGTGCTGAAGAAAGCTCTGGTTTCGTCGGGGTAACACCTGGTTCCCAACTTGCTACGAACATTGTCTGACCTTCTATTTGCCAGAGACGTTGATTGAGGACACGGTTTCTTGTTTGCACATTAGGAATTCGGAACAAAAAAGCGTTGCCCTCCATCTTCGAAACTGTGATATCCTTAAACTGCTTGCTCCAAATCCCATTCACAATGGTATGAATTGTTCCTTGAGCAGGGGGATCCGAGTAGAATTGACCAAGAATGAATGACTCCCAAGATTTCTTATGCTTTTCAATTAGTGAGTCGGGAATCTTAACACAAGATTCTCCAGATGGGAGAACAAAGGCCGTGCCTTTTTTCTGAAGCCTCTTAGAGGTTCCTTTGAACAAATCGCACCAGGAGTCTTCCTCGACTGGAGCTTTTGTCATGGTGATTTCTGGGTTCCCCGCAGCAACCTTGACGGGTGCGGTTTGCGCAGATGTTTTGGAGAGACTCGGGTCCGTGGACGGAATCGCTGCAATTGAGGTGGAGGGCGCAACAGGCGTGGCCGGAAAAGAAGCAGCCGCTGGTGTCGCATCAACCAGACCTAGAATTTCTGGATCTGAAATAGATCGCAGATCGGATTGAGAAGGTAACGCTGGACTCGTCGGCGAGACCACAACATGGGCAGTCAGAGCCGGAGAGGGAACAACGGACGCCTTGGACGGACGGATCTGTTTCGCACCGGAGCTAACAGACGAGGCGGAGGGAGAGGAGGAACCACCTTGTGGAGAAGACGATTTTCTTGCCGGAGAGTCACGCTTGAGACGACTTTGCTTTCCCATGAGGAGGGGAGCGCCTTGAAGATCCGAGGAGAGGAGGAGCCGGCGCCGTTGAAGACGCCGGAGGTGAGAAGAAAAAGAGACCACTTTTCGTCCTTTTGGGGAGAGAGAAAGCTTCGGGAGAGACCACCAACTTCCCAAAATATTTTGGGTTGACATGGGATCATAGATAATTTCTCGTTTATGTTCAAGTGGGATCTTATATATTTTGTCCATTCCTCTTGAAGCCGAGTTTTCAAATTTTCTGCTATTTTTATTCAATAAAAAAAGCTTTTGCTTTTATACTATGCTTACTTAAACTTAGAATATGTACTTTGTTCTCCACAATAAAGAGAATAGCTAAAATTCAGTTGGACCAATTCAGAAAAGACTTTATACATTTTCAAGAGTCAAATACGCCATTTTATTACATATATGTGAAAACAAATTAAAACTTTTTGAGAGAAAAAAATATTAGGTCTTCAAACCAATCCGTGTGACCTGATTTCATTTCTAAGAAAAACAATATATATTGAAGTCACGTGTTTGACCAAAAATGATGAACACGTAACGTGAGACGTTCATTTATCCATATATAAGCACGAATATACATTTGAATCTTCATACAAAAAAAGGAATATAAATTTGAATCTGTACCTTTAAATCAACTAAAAACATGTACAAAGTCGTGGTTTACGTACTAACCTTGAGTTTGCTCTTGTTCTTCGGATTACCAAACACAACATTGGCCCGAGTACAATATGAATCTCCAAGTTCAAGTGAGTATTTTTCTTTTCTCAAGCAATTTTTTATATATGTTCGATACGATTTAGGTTTAGTTGTAGTTCAAATTTATGGCTTGTAAAGTTTAAATATGAAATGAAAACCGAATGTTTCAGTTTTTTTTATACGTTAATCTTTTAGTTTTGATTCCATTCGAAAATTATATCTTCAAATCAAAGCATATTCAAACAAATGAATTTACGACGTCTCGTTTACTTTTTCATTATATTTTAAATTTAAGATTTGCTCGTAAATGAAAAACAAATAATGAATCATTTTATTTCTTCTTCCTTTCGGGTTTTGTACTAGGTTTTTTGTTTAATATAAAACCGATTAGCTTATTGTTGCTTTCTTTCTAGGGAAGAAAATAGGAAAAGGGGTTTGGGATCAAAAGGTCTTCAACGAGATCAAGATACAGGTTGGAGGCAGTGATTCAGAGCGTGCTCTTGGATGTGCACGTAGTTGTGTACCTAGGACAAAAAAAATGATCATGATTCATGACTAACGAAACCCTTGTCCTCAAGCCTAGCAACAATTTTATTCCTGATATATAATGTAATATCGATAGATTCTAAATGTAATAATTTTTTCATCACCCTTGTAATTTTATTCCTGAAACCTTTTTTTTGAATTTAGCATATCATGATCAGTTTATTATTTTATTTTATTTTTTGTTATAAAAAAAAGTAGTGCCGTTTTGGCTAATCCTAGAATGTAATCTCTTTTATGTTGTCAATCTTTTGCAAATGTAAGAGGAAGATTGATGGTCTTCCTAGGAATATCAATTTCATAATCTTATTTCTCTTTTCAATTGCGATCTCTGATTTAAACTGAAACTTTGGCTATATCCTATGATTGATCGCAAAAGCTAACGCTTAATACCACTTGTTCAAATATGGTTTGCCTAATTATCACTTGACACCTTCACGATCACTTCAAGAGAAAGAACAAACATAGAAACAATACACTCTCGATTTTTGCGAGTTCTTCGGAAATCTTTAATGATCTTGAGTATGTCGTGGCTGTATTTTCAGCAAGCATTCCACTAGAAAGAAATCAAAATGAATGAAGTTGCATACACGTTAAATTTGTCGACTGAACGAACTAGTAAGACTAGGTTTTCGAATTTTTATAATTTTCTAGAAAAATGAATGGACAACAGACTGAAAAAATATTACGAACGCAACAAAATGAGAAGACAACAAAAATATATATTGGATCCAAATCTGTAGATAATGAACAGTAAAATATTAAATAAAACTTGCTCTCCATAATGCAACATGAAAAACTAATCGTCGAATATGTTAAATTTGTCTTTCACATAATCATAAAGCAAAAAAGAAGAACGTATGAAAAAATATAGATAGAAAATTTTAAAATTTTAATCCATATTAAATAAAATAAAAATAGTTTTCGCAATTAGAATTGGACAATAAAAATAGTTTATTAAATAAAAGGATGGTGAATTTGATTTGTAATTTTAACCTAACTTAAAAATCTGAATTAATCAAAACTGTACTTCACTATTGTGAATCGAGTTTTGATATCGAGCCGAATCACTAGGTTTGACGGTTTTTAATTGGGTTTAGTGGTTCAACTCAAAATTGATTTTTGACTCAACTGGATATATGGATGATTCCCAGTGTACCAGCCGGTCCGATATAGTATTCAGAACACTGGTTATAAACTTATAAGTGTGTGTTTGTCTACTGTACAGTCCTTTGGGATATTTTTTTTGTGTCCATCGAATTTTCTTAATAAGAAATAATGATCAAGTAGCAAAAATAAAATTGGTTTCACATGTCTTTTATTCTTTTCTTTTGTCAAACTCACATGTCTTTTATTCAAGTCTTGTATTTTATAACAATTTGTGTTCACATTTAAGTTATTCAACTCTTATTACAAACAAAATAATTTGGGTTGACATGTGATTTATAGATGATTTCTCCATTTATGTTCAAGTGGGATCTTAGGCGCCCATCCCTACCTCAAGTCTTCTAACTGAGTTTACAAGGTATTGTATTCAATAACGAAAGCTTTTGTTATCGAATTAAGACCATGTACTTTGTTCTCCACAATATATAAAATAACTAAAATTATGTTGGACCAATTTAAAAAAGACTTTCAACAATTTTTTTATTTTTATTGATAAAGGCTTTATACATTTTCAAGAGTTAAATACGCTTTTTTATTATATATACATTACATGGAAACGAAAATTTGTTGAGAGAAAAAAATACAATGTCCTCGAATTAATCCGTGTGACCTGATTTCATTTCTAAAAAATAAAATTGAAGATACGTGTTTGACCAAAAAAGATGAATACGTAACGTGAGACACATACATTCATTTATCTATATTTATTCACGAATATACATTTTGAATACATCCCTTTGAATCAATCGAAAGCATGAACAAAGTCGTGGTTTACGTACTAGCTTTGAGTATTCTCTTGTTCTTTGAATTACCATATACAACATTGGCCCGAGTACAATATGGATCTCCAAGTTCAAGTGAGTATTTTTTTTCTTCTTAAACAATTTTATATAGGTTATTGCCATTTAGGTCTGGTTTATGGCTTGTAAAGTTTAAATATTATTCAGTTTTGTTTATATGTTGATCTTCTGGTTTTGATTTCATGTGTAGCAAATTATATCTTCAAATCAAAGAATATTCAAAGATATGAATTTAAGACGTCTCATTTACTTTTTTTCACTATAGTTTGAATTAACTATAGTAAGAAAAAATAAAACTTACGTAATTGTTTTCCTCATTTTTTTAAAAATAACTGTTTAGCTTTGGTTTTTTTTTTTCTTTTCAATAAACCCTATCAACATTGATTAGCTAATTGTTGCTTTCTTTCCAGGGAAGGAAATAGGGAAAGGGGTTCAGGCTTCAACGAGATCAAGATTGCTGTAGGAGGCAGTGATTCAGTGCGAGCTCATTTAAAAGATCATGAGATTCATGAGTAATGAAACCCATGTTCTCAAGCCTAGCAACAATGGGTTATATATATAATTAGTGTAAGAAAACATTTCCATCGTCTTTGTAATATATTTTTGTGGAAATATAATAAGAATGAAACATTTCCTTAGATTTAGAATATCATGCAATTTTTTTGTTGAGAAATTCTTCAAATTACCATATTTTTAAATTTTGTTTCTAAAATACCACCAAGAGTTTTGGTATTTTAAAAATACCACAAAGACAAAAATTAATTATAAGGGTTGAAAAGTTAAACTTTTAGGTTTGGGTTGGCTATTTAGGTTAAAGGTATAGTTTTTAGAGGATAGAATTTAATCTTTAGGGTTTAGGGTTCAATTATGAAGTTGAAAAGTTAGATTTTTCGTTTTGTGGTATTTTTTGAAAATTTAAATGGTATTTTTTGGAAAACTAAAAGTTAAGTGTAATATTTTTGAAAATTAACTTTTTGTTTGGTTTTAAAATATATATATAGCAGTTTTAGCTATCTTAGAATGTAATCTCTTTTACGTTATCAATCTTTTCCAATTGTAATAGGAAGATAGATGCTCCTAGGTCCGGAGTTTTAATGTGTCCGGGTTAAAATTTGCATCATCCAAGTCATACTTTTTTTTTTGTTTTCCGCAAAACACTAATTTATTAAGTTATCCGTAGCAAAAATCTCTCCTCTAAGGAGAGCCAATCCGGCATCGACATGCCCATATAGGAAAGTAAAGACCCTAATGTTCTTGCCTTTTTAGGTAAACAATAATAAAAACATATATTTTTACTACAAGGAATAAGTCTAATGTAGAAAGATGGGAAACATAGCCGTAATAGTTTAAATAGTTGTAGCTCTACTATAAATGTAGGCCATTCTAAAGAATTGTCGACCAACGAAATTAACGCCGTGCAGTCTGATGCGAAACCAATATATTATATCTTTATCGTCGTGATAAGACATTCCATGCCTCAAAGAAGAGTTTCAAATTCCACATGGAGTGGTGGAAGTCCTCGACGAGAACTCCTTAAGCCCAAAAGGAGGGATGTGTCAGTCACCTTCCATAACAATCCATCTGTGGCCACTCAGGGGATCGGTTGCAAACCATGAGTCATCAATTTGGTCACCTATGTCACCAAAGTGCACTTATCTTTTTGGTCTAATGTCCATGAGAGAAGTCCACAGTTAAGCGTGCTTGAGCTGAAGCAATTTCAGGATGGGTGAACTTCCTGGAAGTGATTGTCGGAATTGTGTGAGCGAGGACAAAACACAGGGAAAGATCATGTGGTGATTTGTAGGGTCGGTAAACAAGTCTTTAAAGCCTCCCGAATGTAGCGGACCAGCCGTCGGACAGGGGTGCGTGGACCCATGGACCCGACAGAGGACGTAAGGCCCACTAGTAGGGACGGTCGGGACGTTACAAGTGGTATCAGAACCGAACCCAGACGAGTGTGGAGTCAAGAGGACTCACAACTTAGGGGGTGACGGTCTTGGTGCGCAATGAGGATGTTGCGATTTGTTAGTGGGGGTGAATTGTAACACCCCGATTTCAGGAATATGGTGGTGCATGCGGAGAGGTTTAAAAGAATTGATTTGGCCACCTATGTCATCAAAGTGCACTTATCTTTTCGGTCAAACGTCGTGAGAGAACTCCATAGTTAAGCGTGATTGAGCTGGAGCAATTTCAGGATGGGTGACCTTCCGGGAAGTGATTGTCGGAACTGTGTGAGTGAGGAAAAAACACAGGGAAAGATCATGTGGTGATTTGTAGGGTCGGTAAACAAGTTTTTAAAGCCTTCCGGACGTAGCGGACCGGCCGTCGGACAGGGGTGAGCCCACGGGCCGAGAGAGGACGTGGAGCCCATTAAGAGATATGGCGGTCGGGGCGTTACAGCTACAAAAGTTGTAGGATGGAGAGGCGATATTCATGGGTCCTCAGGGGGATATTCTTTTTGATTTGCCACTCTCCAAATAGACGCTTCCTCAGTGGTTTGATTTAACATCTCTTGAGGTGGCTCTCTAATGTTTTCAGAAATAAAACCTATTTTGCTCATTCCATAGGTTCTATGGTATCCATTAAAAGGTATGAATAATGTAACACCCCACTCCCACATTAAATGTGATATGTGTTCACGACTAATATTACAACCCGTGCTATAGCACGGTCATAACTTTTTTTTTTTTTTTTGATGAAACATAATTTTATAATTTTTTGTATTTTCATAAAATTAAATTGTAAATATTTATATTGAAGTCTATTATATGAACCTAACAAAAAAATCTAAATAAAATCTCTAAATATGTAAACAAAAATCATTATATCATCACACATTTGGTCTATAATATCTTTTTCTTATGCGCATGCAGTGAATGCACAGAAACCATACGACGAGTGTGGAGGCCAACCAAGCCACGTAGCTCAGAAATTGATGTTCTTGGGAGATTAGACTTCTAATCCGACGCCGTTTTTTTTATCTTGTATTATTTAAAGTTGAACACGTACCTGTGACGTAGATTTTCATAATTTACAGCTTTTTCTTGATATCTTGCTAATATTGGCGGTAACACCGTAACGGTGAATAAAATACCTTTTTGATGTGATACGATAAAGTTGATGTAAATCAATAAAGGTGAATCTAAAAGAAAAATAACCAAAAAAAAAGAACATTTAAAAATTTCATAATCGGAATATGCATATGCATATAAAATTCGTCAATTCGATGTATTATAGTGTTACCTTAAGTTTGGCTTAATGCGGACAAATCTATAACGTAGTTAATGAACATGTTCTTTTATAGTGGATTGCAGGGAAAAATGGATAAAAAAAACGCTCACCTTTCTTAAGAACATATAGAAAACCCTCAATTTTTTTTGTGGATTTTAAAACTCTCACCTTTTCATAAATAGTAAAATAAATCCTAATATTAATAAACTCAAAAAAAAATTTAAATCGTCATATTAAAACAATAAGAACCAAAAAAAATTTAATTTATGATTTTTTAAAAGTTAAATAAATTATTAACTATATGTAATTTATATTATTTTTAATGTATCGTAATATGTATATAGAAATATTTACTGTTAGTAAATTTTATTTAGTTTGTCCGATGAAAATATTTTGATGTGGAAATTCATATACTTTTCGTAGTATTATAAAATTTGGTTTGGTTTTACGTTAGTGTTATTGAACCGAATAAACTTTTATTAACATAAAATCATATTCGGTTCAATATAAGAATTTATATATGATTCGTAACAAAATCTGTTTAGTTTCACATTGATGAATTTTTGAAACACAACTGAATACAATTAGTTTTTTTACATCATGACTTAAAAATTTTCAATTTAGATAAAATATTGTAAACTGGATTTTAAAAGAAAAATCCTAAATCAAATTGTTTATATTTATTATGTTTAATATAACGATTTGCTTGAATTTAAATTGAGTTTATTAATAATAGGGTTTATTTTACCTTTTTTGAAAAGATGAGTATTTAAAAACCCACAAAAAAAGGTAAGGGTTTGTTTTATGTTTTTAAAAAATGTGAAGGTTTTTCTACCCATTTAAATGCAATGTTAGACGTTATATTTCTATCCTCTTTTCTAGCGAACTGGTTTTCAACGTTTTTAAATTTAACACTTAGTTTTATTTTTAGTTATTAAGTTTTTTTTTGTAATTAAATTTTAAATCTTTTTTATTTAAAATATTAATTTTAAAAACCGTTTAAAACATAAATAAGTGTTAAATTTATATTACGTGAAAACATGTTAAACTTATGATACCTCAAGACTTACGGACCAAAAGGACATGATGCCAAGTCGAACTTTTTTTCAAAGTTTTAAAATTTAACACTTAGTTTTGTTTTCAGTTACTATTAACTTTTTTTGTTATTAAATTATAAAACTTTTTTATTTAAAATATTAAATTTGAAAATCATTTAAAACAAATAACTAGGTGTTACATTTTTATTACGCAAAAACATGTTAAACTTATGATACCTCAAGACTTACAGACCAAAATAACGAGATGCTAAGTCGAACTTGTTTTCTACGTTTTTTAATTTAACACTTAGTTTTCTTTTTAGTTATTTTGCTTTTGTTATTAACTTCTTAAATTTTTTTTATTAAATATTAATTTTGAAAACCGTTTAAAACATAACTAAGTTTTAAATTTTTATTACGTGAAAACATGTTAAACTTATGACACTTTAAGACTTACGGCCAAAAGGACTGGATGCTAAGTCGAACTTGTTTTCAATGTTTTTTAAATTTAAAAGTTAGTTTTGTTTTTAGTTATAAAGTTTTTTTGTTATTAAGTTTTTAAATTTTTTTTACTTTAAATATTAATTTTGAAAACCGTTTGAAACATAACTAAGTGTTAAATTTTTATTACGTGAAAACATGTTAAACTTATGACACCTCAAGACTTACGGACCAAAAGGACGGGATGTTAAGTCGAACTTGTTTTCAACGTTTTTAAATTTAATACTTAATTTTTTGATTTAAGTTATTATGTTTTTAAGATTTTTTACTTATAATATTAATTTTGAAAACCGTTTAAAACATAACTAAGTGTTAAATTTTCGTTACGTGAAAACATGTTAAACTTATGCCACCTCAAGACTTACGGACCAAAAGGACATGATGCCAAGTCGAACTTTTTTTCAAAGTTTTAAAATTTAACACTTAGTTTTGTTTTCAGTTACTATTAACTTTTTTTGTTATTAAATTATAAAACTTTTTTATTTAAAATATTAAATTTGAAAACCATTTAAAACAAATAACTAGGTGTTACATTTTTATTACGCAAAAACATGTTAAACTTATGATACCTCAAGACTTACCGACCAAAATAACGAGATGCTAAGTCGAACTTGTTTTCTACGTTTTTTAATTTAACACTTAGTTTTCTTTTTAGTTATTTTGCTTTTGTTATTAACTTCTTAAATTTTTTTTATTAAATATTAATTTTGAAAACCGTTTAAAACATAACTAAGTTTTAAATTTTTATTACGTGAAAACATGTTAAACTTATGACACTTTAAGACTTACGGCCAAAAGGACTGGATGCTAAGTCGAACTTGTTTTCAATGTTTTTTAAATTTAAAAGTTAGTTTTGTTTTTAGTTATAAAGTTTTTTTGTTATTAAGTTTTTAAATTTTTTTTACTTTAAATATTAATTTTGAAAACCGTTTGAAACATAACTAAGTGTTAAATTTTTATTACGTGAAAACATGTTAAACTTATGACACCTCAAGACTTACGGACCAAAAGGACGGGATGTTAAGTCGAACTTGTTTTCAACGTTTTTAAATTTAATACTTAATTTTTTGATTTAAGTTATTATGTTTTTAAGATTTTTTACTTATAATATTAATTTTGAAAACCGTTTAAAACATAACTAAGTGTTAAATTTTCATTACGTGAAAACATGTTAAACTTATGCCACCTCAAGACTTACGGACCAAAAGGACGGGATGCTAAGTCGAACTTATTTTCAAAGTTTTAAAATTTAACACTTAGTTTTGTTTTTAGTTATTAAGTTTTTTTTTTGTTATTAACTTTTTAAATTTTTGTACTTAAAATATTAATTTTGAAAACCGTTTAAAACATAACTAAGTGTTAAATTTTATTAAATTTAAACATAACTAGCTTCGCTGAGCCTCCTACTCTTTCTCTCAATCTATCTGCAACCCAAGCTAAGCCATCGCTAGATGATACTGACCTCGTCTCTCCGGTAGCTTCAGCTTCTCTGGCAAGTCCTGTCGAAATGCCACTTGATGATGTTTTTTTGAACATCGTCTCACCTACGATTTCAAAATCTATGGCTAGTTTGGCTACTCCTTCGCAGGTTGCGAATTCATCTCCGACGTCTTCATTGCCTCTTCTAGGAACTCCTTCTGGTTCCCAATCTAAGGATTCAAAAAGGTTGGAAACCTCCAAACCTATCCCTACGAATCTCTCTAAGTCTTCTCGACAAGGAGCTTGGGTAAAACCTTTACCGATCCTTGCAACAAGGCAGGTAGTTAATGAGGTTGTTGTTCGGGAAAGCTTCACGGCTTCTCAAAAACAGATGGATAGAATGGAAGATAATCTTCGGTTCCCTTGGGCGGCTAAGATGGATCCAGCTTCCAGAAATCTCTTCAGAGCATCAGAGCCAGAATACTTACCTGATGGAACTCCTAAGGTAACTATTCCACAACATGTTCTGTTACAAGGGTTAGAGAATCATAAAGAATACGTTTTAGGACAGTTCTATAGATGCTTGCCTCCTCCTGGTGGTCTAATTTTTGCTGTCTTCAATAAGTTATGGGGAAGGAAATGTAGAATCACCATTAGGAAGTTAGGTGAGTCAAGTTATCTATTCCATATCCCTGATGAATCAACTAGGTCATGGGTTATTCAAAGGGGGCTCTGGCATGTTGATGACTGTCTTATGTTTGTTGCTTCATGGACTCCTGAAGCAACTTTAGCTATCCCCGAGATCAAAACTATTCCAGTCTGGGTAACTTTAAAAAAAATACCCAACAGTCTGTACTCAATTGCGGGCATAAGCCATATAGCTTCTGGTTTAGGTGTTCCTATGGCAACTCATAAACCTAGACTAGATCCTATTCTTATGGGTGAGGCCAAGATTCTTGTTGAGGTTGAGCTAAGCAAAGCCTTTCCAACCAAGATCGCTGCTAGTGATATAGCTGGATTTATTTCTATGGTGGATGTAGAATATGCATGGTTGCCTACTATATGTAGTACTTGTGGTCAGTTGGGGCACAAGGACAAGCGCTGCTTACGTGAGGTAACCGTTTCACAAGTGAGTGCTAATACTATCACTGAGGTTACCACTGAAAAGGATGCAGAGGTTGGCAATGGGAGTGCACCTAGTTCAGCCCCTGTTGCTACTTTCCATTACACCACTCCAATTTCGGCTTCATGCATGAAGGTACCTATTACTAGCACCTATCTCTTACAAGGCAAAGAGTCATTATCATCTGATCAAACAACAGCTACTATAGTAGAAGAGCATACTATCTCAGCAAATGTCTCAACCATTGAGAAGATCCCTATTTCAACAACTTTTCCACCAACTTTTGTATCTATTGAGTCTCCTCTCCAGAGAACTGCACAATCATCAGTCACAGCTCATGCTCCTGTAAATGCTACTGTCCACAGGGAGAGGGCTAAATCTGCTGATCATAATCTTGGTTCTAATCAGTTTGCCTCATTGGTTTCTTCGGATGAGGAAGAAGATTTGTCAGATTCAGACAACGAATCTGATTCAATGGATCTTATGACTCCTTCAGGTAAAAGAATCCTTCGAGAGAGGCCGGTTAAACCATCAACAAAGGCTAAGGAGATGCATGGACAAACCACAAGTCGTGGAAGGGGCAGAGGCCGTGGGAAACGAGGTGGTCGTGGCTAATATTCTCCAACAACCTAGCCACTAAGTCAATCGAAGCGGTTGATTCGATTGTAGCTGTGCGTTTAATGTACCCTTTCTTTATATTTCTTGTAGCTTTTGAAAAACTGCATGACATAATGTCATGGACTCAACTGGTTCTTAATAAATAAGGTTTATAAAAAAAAAAAAAAAAAAAAAAAAAAAAAAAAAAAAAAAAAAAAAAAAAAATTTATTACGTGAAAACATGTTAAACTTATGACACCTCAAGACTTACGGACCAATATGACAGGATGCTAAGTCGAACTTGTTTTCAACGTTTCTACATTTAACTTCATTTATTGATTTTAGTTATTACGTTTTTAAAATTTTTTACTTATAATATTAATTTTGAAAACCGTTTAAAACATAACTAAGTGTTAAATTTTCATTACGTGAAAACAAGTGAAACTTATGACACGTCAAGACTTACGGACCAAAAGGACGGGATGCTAAGTCGAACTTATTTTCAAGGTTTTTAAATTTAACACTTAGTTTTGTTTTTAGTTATAAAGTTTTTTTTGTTATTAAGTTTTAAAAAAACTTTTACTTAAAATATTAATTTGGAAAACCGTTTAAAACATAACTAACTATTAAATTTTTCTTACGTGAAAACATGTTAAACTTATGAGTTATGACACCTCAAGACTTACTGACCAAAAAGACGGGATACTAAGTCGAACTTGTTTTCAATGTTTTTAAATTTAAAACTTAGTTTTGTTTTTCGTTATAAAGTTTGTTTTGTTATTAAGTTTTTAAAAAATGTTTACTTAAAATATTAATTTTGAAAACCGTTTAAAACATAACTAAGTGTTAAATTTTTATTACGTGAAAATATGTTAAACTTATGACACCTCAAGACTTACGGATAGGTCTGGACAAAAAAACCGCTAACGAAATAACCGACCGAACCGAAAAAAACCGAACCATATCCGAACCGAAGTTTTTAAAATAACTGAATGGTTAGTAAAATCCCATATCCATACTAACCGAAACCGAACCGAACCGAACCGATAACCAAAATATCCAAAAACATATAAGATACCCAAAAATAATATCCAAAATTATAATTATAAACTCAAAATATTAATTATTTTTAGAATCAAAACAATCAAATACTTTAAATAATCAAAATATCCAAATATTATTTATTATATTTGTCAAAGTTAAATACTCCTTTAAAAAATTGAATTAAATTTTAATTTTCTTTCTAATAATTTTCTTTTTTTTTGTATTTTCTTTTTGTATTTTTTTCGGTTAATTTCGGTTAGTTTTGGTTAGTTTCGGTAAATTTCAGTTATTTTGAGTAAAAACTCGAACCAAACCGAACATGATAAAAGTTTAGTTAGTTACGGTTATCTATTTAAATATCCAAACCGAACCGAACCGAAAGGTAACTGAACCGAACCGAAATTCCTAAAATATCTGAATGGTTATTATATTACCATATCCAACTAACCGAAACCGAACGCAACCGAACCGAAACCGAATGGTTAACCGAATGCCCAGGCCTACTTACGGACCAAAAGGACGGGATGCTAAGTCGAACTTGTTTTCAACGTTTTTAAATTTAACACTTAATTTTTTATTTTAGTTATTAGTTTTAAAATTATTTTACTTATAATATTAATTTTTAAAACCGTTTAAAACATAATTGTTAAATTTTCATTACGTGAAAACACGTTAAACTTATGACACCTCAAGACTTACGGACCAAAAGGACGGGATGCTAAGTCGAACTTATTTTCAACGTTTATAAATTTAACACTTGTTTTGTTTTAAGTTATAAAGTTTTTTTTGTTATTAAGTTTTTAAAATTTTTTTACTTAAAATATTAAATTTGAAAACCATTTAAAACATAACTAAATGTTAAATTTTTATTACGTGAAAACATGTTAAGCTTATGACACCTCAAGACTTACGGATCAAAAGGACGGGATGCTAAGTCGAATTTATTTTCAACTTTTTTAAATTTACCACTTTGTTTTGTTTTTAATTTTTTTTTTAACGCCAACATCTGAACTTTATTATAAAGAAACAGAGTGATCCTCATAAAGGATTTGTACAAGAAATGTGGGAACATAAAAATGAGATACAAAAATCGATCCATTTGGAATGTCTTCCTTAGCTAAACGATCCGCAGCCTTATTGCACTCTCGTGATGACCATTTGATTATCGAACTCGTGAATCGTTCCCACCATAATTGGATTTCTCGAATCAAATTGTGAAAATTAAAGTTTCTTGTATCCCCTGAATTAGCTTTGATACCTCCTTTTTGTCTCCTTCAAATACAACTCGTCGATGACCTCGAATCCATGTGTGTTGCATAGCCATTAACAGAGCTTGTAATTCCGCTTAATGGTGAAGTACAAATTCTTCCGCTACTTTGAGTAGCTTCAATATAGAAACCTTTCGAGTCACGTAGTATCCATCCTGCTTTTAAAATCACACCATTTTGATTGAATTTACAATCATAGTTGTAGCCCATCTCTGGTTTCTCCCAACTGTTATTAATCGATATATTATTGACAGTCCTCATGTTTCTGCTAGCTTGCTCCGGAGACCATTCATAAGCATCAGTTATGGCTGCTTGTACATCTTTAATCCATTGACTGCCCTTTTTTTGGTAGACTAAAAGATTTCTGCTCTTCCAGATCCTCCATAGAATCCACAAGGGGAACTGTTTTGTTAACTCATCCAACCTTTTATCGTTTCAGCAAAGAAGTATCATCCTGAACTTGTCCTCAAAGGATAGGTTAGGGTCAAAGTAAGAAGAAAGAGCGACATTACTACCTCTCCAAATTGCTTGAGCATAACTACATCCGAAAAAAAAGATGTTCCTTTGTCTCCTCTGCAACACAGCAACGCTTGCACATAGCATCTCTCGTTATTCTTCGCCTTTTTAAAGTCGATCCAACTGCCATTGTATACGTAACAATCTGCCAAAGAAAATATCTGATTTTCTGAGCTGTTTTTATTTTCCATATTGCTACTTTTAAATCCAGTGATCCCGTTGGTGGTGTAATCATGTTTGGTTGATCCGGTAAGTGCGTGTTTAACCAGTAGCCCGATTTCAAAGTCTATTCTCCACTTTTGTTGTAACTCCATCCTAATAGATCCGGAAATGATTGTGAACTTAGACGGATGGATTGAATTAGTTCTGCATCCTCTTCTACAAACAGCTCCTCAATAACTTCTTTGTTCCACATCTTTGTTCCTTCTTGCATAAGTTCATTAACCTTTGTGATCCTCGGAATGGTATCGGTACGGCTCCGTGGTGGTCTTGGAGGGTGAGTTGGAAGCCATTGGTCAGTCCAAATGTTTGTTTCATTTCCATCTCCTATTAGAATTCGCAGTCCCTGTTTGAGAAGATCTCTTCCTTCTAAAATTGATCTCCATATGAAAGAAGGCTTGGGACCAGTTCCCGCATTCAAAATACTACTTCCTGCAAAATATCTTCCTTTTAAGAGTTTTGAGAGAAGGCTAGTTGGTGCTTGAAGAATTCTCCATGCTTGTTTTGCTAGCATAGCCGTGTTGAAACTTTCAATATCCCTGAAACCTAATCCCCCTTCTTTTTTCGGTAAGGCCATTCTTTTCCAAGCTAACCAATGCATTGAACTCTTTTCAGGTCCTTTACTCCACCAATAACTAGCAAGCAGACTATTAATGTCTTCACAGATTCCTTTAGGAAGTTTGAAATAGTTCATCGTGTAGACTAGTAAAGCAAGTGAAACTGTCTTTATAAGTATTTCTTTTCCAGCCTCGGATAGGAATCGATTGGTCCATCCTTGAGTCCTTTGTTGAACCCGATTGACAATGAAGTTGAAAATTTCTTTTTTCTTCCTTCCTATTTGTTCTGGTAATCCCAAATATTTTCCACCACCTTCATCAGTGTGGATATTCAGAATTCTTCGAAGCTTGGTTTTCATTTGTGGTTTTACTTTCGATCCAAAGGTGATAGCCGATTTGTGGAGATTAACCGCTTGGCCTGAAACTGTTTCATAGTTTTGTAGTACTCTCATGATTGTCGAACAAGATTTTGGATAAACATGGCAAAAGAACAGAGCATCATCTGCGAATAAGAGGTGATTTATTGTTGGACCTGTTGTACTTATTCTCATACCTGGGAGTTTGTTGATCGATGTTGCATTCGTGAGTAGGTGAGATAGAACTTCTGAACACAAAATGAAGAGATATGGTGATAAAGGGTCACCCTGTCTGATCCCCCGACTTGGTTTAAAGTAGCCATGTGGTGATCCATTAATCAGAACGGAGAATGAGACTGATTCTATACACTTCATGATCCAGTTAATCCATTTCACGTCAAAACCCATGTAAAGCAATCTCCATTCTAAACAATCATAAGCTTTTGAGATATCCGTCTTCACCGCCATATACGACTTTGCCCATCGTTTCCTTGACTTCAGAGAATGGAGCATTTCATGTGCCATAATGACGTTATCCATAATATTTCTACCCGGGATAAACGCAGCTTGATTCTCGGTGATGATTCCGGATAAATGGTGTTTCAGTCTTCCCACGAGGATTTTAGAGAAGATCTTGTAGCTAACATTACATAGCGCAATGGGTCGGAAGTCACTTATGGTTCTTGGAGATTCAGGCTTAGGGATTAGACAAATGTTGGTGTGATTGGTGCCCTCTTCCAAGTTACTAGTTTCAAAGAAATTACGAACTTCTCAAATTACTACCTCCTTGATATCCGGCCAGAATTGGTGATAAAAAGCACTTGTAATCCCGTCCGGTCCCGGTGCTCTATCTTCTCTGATGGCAAAGACCGCTTCTGTAATCTCATCTTTTGTTACCAACTTCGTCAAGTCATTGTTCATGTTTTCAGTCACTCTTGCTTGAAAGCCTTCGAAAACTAATTGTAGTTTATATGGTCCTGTCTTGTTGTAGTGAACAGAGTTTTGAAATAAGTCTCTTGCTATCCTTCCAATATCTGAATCATTTCTATGAGAATTTCCAATATCTGCTATTCTATTCCTTGCCATTCTCGTCTTTGTAGCAGCATAAAAGTATTTGGTGTTTCTGTCCCCAAAATTGATCCAACTCTTCCTACTCTTCAATCTCCAGAACGTTTCTTCATCATGATATGCTCGGGAAAGCTCTTGTCTGATGTTATGGATATCTTGAGTGGTAAAACCATCATTTGAGAGAGCATAATCAAGACGTCGTTTCCAAATTGCCATGGATTTCCTACAGTTCTTGATTCTTGTGCTCAGGGCCGGCCCGACGTCATATGACGCCTAAAGCACACATAAAATTGATGCCCTTTCACCGCAACTAAAATTTTTCCAAAGTATAATGAAACACAAGGCAAGACAACAAGGGAATCATTCTAATTCAATTGTTTATCGTATAATTTTATATTAATTAGTAGTATTAGTTAATAATATATTAAAGAAAAGTTAGATAAATCAGAATTTTTTCAATAAAGAAAAAATGGAAAAAACAATCGTTTGTGGAATCTTGATGAAAAAAAAAATCAAATCATTTTGATTTTGTGAAGGTTCGAATCCGTTACCACAGACTTAAAAACAGAGAACTATAACCACTACACCAAAGGAACTTATTAGTATTTGATGCCCCAAAAGTTTATATATTATTTGGCGCCTAAAGCAAGGGCTTCATGGGCTTTAGCCCAGGGCCGGCCCTGCTTGTGCTCAAAGATGTTTCTCTATCTGCAGCATTCCAACAATCCACTACTCTTTCCTTGAAACCTTCTTTAAAGAACTGTCTCTTATCATATCGGAAACAACCTTGACGTTTTCCTCCGGTAATCTTTGTGACCAGTGGCTGATGGTCGGAGCCTTCGAAAGGTAAAAACTCAGTTTGGGCTGAGGGATATTGTGCTGAACATTCTGAATTTGCCATGACACGATCTAGGCAGCACCAAATATTGTGATTGTGTCTTTTCACGGTCCAAGAAAAAGGGTCTCCAATCGCATTTAAATCATGGAAGTCACAAGTCGCTAGCATTCTTCAAAAATCAGTGAAGCTACTCTCAGGTCTACGCGTACCTCCTCTTTTCTCGTCATTGCTTTTAATCTCTTTAAAGTCACCCATTATTACCCAACAAGATGGTCTTGTTGTTGAGATTCTTTCTAATCTTTCCCAACGATAACGTCTGTTGCTTGGTTCTGGAAAGCCGTAAACAAAAGACAAGTAGAAACTGATTCCAATACTTTCAACATGACAATCTACAAGATTAGAACACTGGGAAATTACAGAAACAGAAAGATGAGAATTCCATAAAACAGCTACTCCAACACTCAGACCCGTAGGTGGGATTGAGACACTTCGGTCATACCCTAAATCAACACAAACATCTCTGATCTTGTTGTCCTTTTGCTTTGTCTCAAAGAGGCATAAAATATCTGGGAGATACAGGCGACGAAACTCCTTTAGGCATCGAACTGTAAGATCTATGCCTAAACCTTGACAGTTCCAGCAGGCTGTGATCATGGCGGATATGGTGGTTTCAGGCCCAACGCGCCTCTGCACTGGTCGCTCCTGTCCGAGAAGCTGCTGCTTTCCTCTTTCTCATGAATCACCATCTTCGTGTCATTCTCCTCTGTTTGATCCAAGACATCTTCTCTCTTAGGTTTTCCTCTTTCAATGGCCATTATCTCTCTGTTAAGCATAGTCTGTTCCATGATTTCTTCACGAGGGTGGATGTTAATGGAGTATCGTTGGTAGCTTTCACTTCCGGGGATATCACCTTTTTCATTCTCAAAGATTGGAATGGGGTTAAAGAGCTCATTGTTGTCCATCTCTGAGGCCAGAGAATTGTGCAGAGGGTCAATGTCTTCAACATTCTCATTCTCCTCTGCTTCCTCTTGAACATCAACTTCTGGAACAATCTCCTCTGGACCACCATTTTCTTCATCATCGGCGATTTCACATATGATCACTCCCCTGTTCTGAGTTCCCGCATCTGGTAGATCTTCATCGTCATCCCCATCAGAGTTATTGTCTTCTCCACCATTCTGAATAAGACAGGCTCCTGCATTATATGTGAGCAACCCACAGACTTCGCAAAAGCCTCTTAAACGTTCATAGCGGAATCTCAGAAGAGTGTTGATTCCTACCTGAAACTGGACATTACGTTGAAATCGGAGAGGATTTTCAATGTTCCAGTTGACTTGCACACGAAAAAAACTCGATTCTAGCCGCTTCTTCACCATCAAAGTTAACATCCGCAACATCTCCAAGAGCCCGACCCACTTCTTCAATCACTTGACGGCTTAGGAATTGAAAAGGAATTCCTCTGATTTGAACCCAAAATGGTATGAAGTTGATTAGTGGGGGATTCATGAGAGGAGTCCACCTTTGGAGGATTAACATACGATCATTGAACGCCCAAGGACCTCGACGCATCACCGTTCAGTAGGAAAAATGAACTGAAATTGATTCTCTGGGACAATTCTTCCGTGAACAAGTCCCGATTGACCCCACATTCTGGGCATAGAAGCCGCAATCGAACGCTAATTTTGTCTTCTCGGCATCACCGGTCGACCCCTGAGGATAAATCGGTTCTCTGCCGCTTCTTGAGCCACAATTGCCGGAGAAATTGCCACAGGTTCATCTTCGGCACCAAGGTTGATGTCTTGCATTGCTCTTCTCAAGTTGTCAGCCATTTTCAAGAGGATTAAATAAAATCGAAGAGGTTAAAGAAGCGCATATGGTATTGATTGGATTGATACTGTGCAAAAGCAATTCGCAAGTCTGCAATTCGCAAGTCTGCAATTATATAGGGAGAGATTCGTTGCAGTTGCTCCATAAGCATCACGACGAAGACAAGGGTTCATCGTGGAGATAACTGCCTGAGAAATGGGCCAAAACTGCTCTAGATCGCCGGCAAAATCGTGTATAACCGCCACCGGAGTGGGGAGAAATAACCGGTTGAGAAACTGTAGATAGATCACCAATAAAATCGCCATAAACGATTTTTTTATCTATTTTTGTTTTTAGTTATTAAGTTTTTTTTCTTATTAAGTTTTTAAATTTTTTTGACTAAAAATATTAATTTTGAAAACAGTTTAAAACATAACTAAGTGTTAAATTTTTATAACGTGAAAACATGTTAAACTTATGACACCTCAAGACTTACGGACCAAAAGGACGGGATGCTAAGTCGAACTTGTTTTCAACGTTTTTAAATTTAACACTTAGTTTTATTTTTAGTTTTTTAGTTTTTAAAATTTAGTTTTAAATCAGAAAATCCAAAGTGAAAAATCAAAATCTTTATTAAAAAAATAAAAAAAATTAAGAAAGTAATACCTGGAGTTGGGCCGTCACAGCGAAGCCCATTGCCTAGGCCATACCAAACTCTGATTTTCTATCTTCTTCATCCTCCCTCAGCCGCGACTCCATTATTTTTCTAAAGCCATCGAAAGTCGAAACTACTTGCTTTTCATTGTCCCTCTCTTCGCTATCCTCTTCTTCCTAATCTCCTTCGCCGCCGTCGACAGAACCCGCAGGTGATAGCGTTGAAATCCCTGCACCAACAGCAGCAGAAAGCAATGGACAAAAGATCATAAGTTATGAGTTGTGTTTTTTTTTGTAATATAATCTAAAGAGCAAGAATGTTATAAGGAAGTTTATTGATAATTACACGGGCTTTTTCCGCACGCTTCAATGTAAGATGAGCTCCTCTTCCTGCGTTGTACCGGTTATCATCCTGCGAAGCCAACAATGTGAAAACAAAAGAAAAGATTGAGGCAGAGGAACATGTTGAGATTAAATGTCTTACCCGATTGTACTTTCGAGCCAAGATTCTTCTTCACAAGCTGACATCCATTTCTCCACTTCCTCTTTGACCTTTGCAATCTCGGAATCAATTTGCTCTAACAACTGCTCAGGATCCTTGACACCTAAAAGGTGAGTGGAAACATATTATTAATTAGCATGTTCATATAATGAGTTTCTTCAGATCATATTATGTAAAAATAAGCTTTTCCTTATAATGGTTTACCAGATTCTATAGCTTCAACTGAAAAGTTTTCTGATTTAAGTACTTGGGTGGCCGGCCATGTGCATCTTCCTTGATATTTCCTCAAGCTCAAGCTTCTTCCTTAGTATCACCTCTTTGATCCTAATGACTAAGCCTAATGACTTCATCCTCAGCCTGTAAAGCAAAACCACATTTCAAAACAGATACTGTTATAAACGGATAGACTAACAATACAGCAAGGTTTGGTCATGTGCGTTTAATGGAAGCAACATAAAGTATGTTGGCCTCAGTAATTTCAGATTCAGACAAAGCGATGCTGCAGGTGACATTGTGAAATATCTTTTGCTCTTCTGCAGGCGTGTCCAGCAGATTCCAGAGCTCCAACAAAGAGACTGCAAGATCTTGAACCTTTAAAAAAACAAAGTGGTAAGAGTCAGAAACCATAATCACGCAGAAACTTCTAACCTTCTGCATTCGCTGTAACTTGACCTCTCGTAAATTCACAATCATCATATCCAACCTATCAAGAGTACTTGTTCTCACATCTCTCTTATCATGTCCTTGAAATCTACACCAAGAACCGAATACAACGAGTTCAGTGTTTTCAGCAAACACTCTACCTCTTCCAATCTTCAAAGTTAACATAAGGAAAACAGGTGCTCAGGATCTTGTAAGTCCCATATCAAAACCAAGAAAATAAACAAATATTGGCAATGAAGATGTGAATTCAAGAAAAAACCTGCAATTGGCCAAGCAACAGTCCACATGTAGTCTCGATTCTCGAAAACTGCTCTGTTGAATTCTGCATCATGATGATTAGAACACGCTAAAGACAAATATTCCTAATTATCAACATCATCACGATAAATTGTTTCGTGATTCCAATTCTCAACTACACAAATACCAAATAATTCGGAACCAAATACAGAGATTTTCTCTGTTTCCTCCGCAGAATTAAAATCACAAAATCGCCATGACGCATCAACTGACAACTGTTCAAGATCTTTAACATCTACAAGAGAAAAGAGCAAAATAATTGTGAAGAAAAAAACTACCTGATGATCAAAGATCAGCGCCAAGACGAACAAGTTGTGAAGAATTGATCAAAGATAAGAGAGAGAGCAAAATTAGGGTTTATAAGTGTTGAGAGTATAACGATGAGGCTATTTCTCTCTATCTATAAAACGATGAGACTATTTATAAACCCATGTGTTTAGGGTTCAAGTTTCCTTTTTTCACATGTGTTTGGGTTTATTTGTCAATTAACTAAACCATCAAAAATTAATTAAACTTAATTTTAATTTAGTTACTTAACCGTCACGTAGCCTCCTCAGCTCCTCTGTTCGCCATTAATTGAATTTTAGTTTCTCTGTGCAAAGGATTTGATTGTGGTTCTAACTTTGTTTTTTTTGTAGAGAGTGTTAGGGTTTGATCATCTTCTTTAATAGGCGTATAGATCATAAGTGTAATAATAGTTTTTGTACTTCAACTACCTAATGCTGATTTACATAGATTCTATTATATCTCTACTTCTGATCACTGAAGATGAGAAGACCAAAAAGAAGCAAAGTTTGAATCTTTTTCTTAGATAAGATTAGAATTTAGAAACTATTAAGGGTATAAGGATCGGTTTACTTCGGTTATGTGTGGTTTACTGAGCTGAGATTAATACTCGGTTTAGTTCTATGTATATAAGCTTAATTACAGTCATTGGATACGTTAAGTTGGTTGTAACAACATTTTAAGCTGAATAAGAAAGTTTGTTATATCCTTCTTCTTCTTCGTTCTCCGATCTTGAACTTCCGGTGTACCGGAGTTTATTATGGTATCAGAGAATTCTATATTTTCCGCATTCATCGTTTTCATCGGAGAGCGATCTTCGTTTCTTTCTCTTTTGTGATTTTCGATTTCATTTGTCATCGCGATTTGCGATTTTCCGTCACCGGAATCTATTTCTCCGTTCTGTTTCTTTGATTTCTTTCGTTTGACCTCTAGTGTTGACGAATCTTTGTTTCTCTATCCAAATTCGTCTCACTTTCTTTGTAATTCCTTGTTCTTAAACTGAGAATGGGAACTTATGTACCTCCATCTACGATTCCGGTGGTTCGTCCTCCGATTAACGCCGGTGAACAGTCTCGGTATCCAGCTGATCAATACGAGAATCCATATTATCTTCATAGTACTGCGGATCATGCTGGACTTATACTTGTTTCGGATCGGTTAACGACTGCTTCTGATTTTCATTCTTGGCGTCGCTCGATCTTAATGGCATTGAATGTCAGAAACAAATTGGGCTTCATTAATGGTACGATTTCAAAACCACCTGAAGATCATAGAGATTTTGGTGCTTGGTCTAGGTGTAATGACATTGTTAGTACTTGGTTAATGAATTCTGTTGATAAGAAGATAGGTCAGAGCTTGCTCTTTATTGCTACTGCTCAAGGTATGTGGAATAATTTGACATCAAGAGTTAAGCAAGATGATGCTCCACGAATCTTTGATATAGAGCAGAAGTTAAGTAAGATAGAGCAGGGATCAATGGATGTTTCAACCTATTATACTACTTTACTTACTCTGTGGGAAGAACACAGAAATTATGTTGAGCTTCCAATCTGTACCTGCGGTCGTTGTGAGTGTGATGCTGCTAGTAAATGGGAAGCATTACAACAGAGAAGTAGGGTGACTAAGTTTCTAATGGGATTGAATGAGGGTTTTGATCAGACAAGGAGACATATTCTGATGCTTAAACCCATTCCTTCTATTGAGGAAACTTTTAACATTGTTACACAAGATGAAAGACAGAGAAATGTCAAGCCTCTTACTCGTGTTGATAATGTAGCTTTTCAGAATAGTACTCCTATGATGAGTGATGGTGAACAAGCTTATGTTGCAGCATACAACACTGTGAGACCAAATCAGAAGCCTATATGTACTCACTGTGGGAAAGTGGGTCATACGATTCAGAAATGTTACAAGGTGCATGGTTATCCACCAGGAATGAAGATGGCAAATTCGGGTTATCAATATAAGACTAATCCTCAGTTACTAGTACAGCCTAGGATGCCAATGATGCAGACTCCACGGATGCAGTATCCAACTCAAATGCAAATGTTGCCATATGCTAACTCAATGCAGAAAGCAAATGCAGTGGCTCATGTTTATGCAGAGACAAATGCATATCCTTCTGAAGGTTATCCTCAAGCATCTATGGTGAATCCTTATGGCAATTATGGAACTTATCCAATGCCTCATATTACACATGGTGGAAATAATCTGAATCTTCAAGACTTTACTCCTCAGCAAATAGAACAAATGATTTCGCAATTCCAGGCTCAAGTTCAGGTTCCAGAGCCTGCAGTTACTTCAAGCAATCCTAGTCCTTTGGTTACAGCTACAGTCTCTGAACATGGTCTAATGGCAGAAACTTCAACATCTGGTATCACAATTCCTTTTCCTTCTACTAGTCTTAAATATGACAATAATAATCTCACTTTTCAGAATCATATACTTTCTTCAATACAAAAATTTTTACCTAGTGATGCTTGGATTATAGATAGTGGAGCCTCTAGTCATGTATGTTCAGACTTAGCAATGTTTAGAGAATTAAGGCCAGTTTCTGGAGTCACTGTCACTTTGCCAAATGGTACTAGGGTTTCTATTACTCATATAGGCACTGTGCATATTACACAAAAACTCATATTGTAGAATGTTTTACATGTTCCAGATTTCAAATTTAACTTGATAAGTGTTAGTTCTTTGGTTAAAACTTTGTCATGTTCAGCTCATTTCTATGTTACTTGTTGTTTAATCCAGGAACTTTCTCAGGGCTTGATGATTGGGAGGGGTAGACTTTATCACAATCTATACATCCTAGAGACAGAAACTACATCCCTCTCTACATCAACACCTGCAGTATGTTCTTTTTCTGGATCAGTTCTTGATGATGGTCAACTCTGGCACCAGCGTTTAGGCCATCCATCTTCTATAGTCTTACAGAAACTTGTTAGTGTTATTCCTTCTTTAAAATCTTTCAATTCTAATGATTCTCCATGTTGCATTTGTCCTTTAGCTAAACAGAAAAGATTGGCATACATATCTCATAACAATTTAGCTTCAAAGCCTTTTGATCTTGTTCATTTAGATATATGGGGTCCTTTTAGTATTGAATCTGTTGAAGGATTTAGATATTTTCTTACTTTGGTTGATGATTGTACAAGAACCACTTGGGTCTATATGTTGAGAAATAAACAAGAAGTTACCAAAGTTTTCCCTGTTTTCTTAAAGCTTGTTTCAACACAGTTTAATATGAAAATAAAGTCTATAAGAAGTGATAATGCTCCTGAATTGAAGTTTACAGAATTGATAAAAGAACATGGCATGCTTCATTATTTTTCTTGTGCTTATACTCCTCAACAGAACTCTGTTGTGGAGAGAAAGCATCAACACCTTCTTAATGTTGCTAGAGCTTTATTGTTTCAATCAAATATTCCTATGCAATATTGGAGTGATTGTGTGTTAACTGCTGCATTCTTAATCAATAGATTGCCATCACCTTTGTTAGATAATAAATCACCATATGAGCTTCTATTGAATAAGAAACCGGATTACTCATTGTTAAAGAATTTTGGATGTCTCTGTTATGTTTCAACAAATATACATGAAAGGAACAAATTTTCACCTCGTGCTAAGCCTTGTGTGTTCTTAGGATATCCTTCTGGATATAAAGGGTATAAGGTTTTGGATCTTGAAACACATTCTTGTTCTATATCTCGTAATGTTGTTTTCAAAGAAAATATTTTCCCTTTTAAAACCAGTGAATTCCTTTCAAAAGCTGTGGATGTGTTTCCTAATACGATTTTACCTTTACCAGCTCCTTTACATTTTGTAGAAACTATGCCTTTGATTGATGAAGATTCTCTAGTACCTACTGTGTCTAATAATACTAATGCTGCATCAAATAATGCATCATCATCATCATCATCTGCATTACCTAGTACCAGAATACCTAATACTACAGTGACACCGGATTTAGGCCTTAATACTGTACCTATTGCTAGATCTAAACGTACTACTAAGGCTCCTAGTTATCTATCTGAGTATCACTGTTCTCTTGTTCCTTCTATATCCACTTTACCACCTACAAATTCTCTTCCAAATACTACACCATCTTGTTCTTCTATATCTACTAAAACACCTATATCTAATACATCATCTTCATCACCTAAAAAGACTACACCATATCCTATCTCTTCAGTCATTTCATATGACAAATATACACCAATTTTCCAATCCTATATCTTAGCCTATAATACAGAAACAGAACCAAAGACTTTTTCACAGGCCATGAAATCAGAGAAATGGACTAAGGCTGCAGATGAAGAGCTTCATGCTCTGGAACTTAACAAGACTTGGATTGTTGAATCTTTACCTCCGGGTAAGAATGTGGTAGGATGTAAATGGGTCTTTACAATAAAGTATAACCCTGATGGTACAGTGGAACGTTATAAGGCAAGGCTGGTGGCTCAAGGGTTTACACAACAGGAAGGAATTGATTTTCTAGACACTTTTTCCCCTGTTGCAAAACTCACCAGTGTGAAACTCATGCTAGGTCTTGCTGCAGCAAAAGGGTGGACTCTGACACAAATGGATGTTTCAAATGCTTTTCTACATGGAGAGCTAGATGAAGAAATTTTTATGAGTCTTCCTCAGGGTTATACTCCTCCTTCGAATACAGAGTTACCACCTAATCCTGTTTGTAGGTTATTGAAATCTCTCTATGGCTTGAAGCAGGCTTCTCGCCAATGGTATAAGAGGTTTTCTTCGGTTCTTTTGGGTGCTAACTTCATTCAGTCTCCTGCTGACAACACTTTGTTTGTTAAAGTGAATTCTGGTTCCTTTATTGCTGTGCTTGTGTACGTTGATGACATCATGATTGCCAGTAATGATGATATAGCAGTGGAGACATTGAAGACTTTATTGAGATCTGAGTTTAAAATCAAGGATCTTGGACCGGCTAGGTTCTTTCTTGGACTGGAAATTTCAAGATCATCTAAAGGGATCTCAGTTTGTCAAAGGAAGTATGCTCAGAATTTATTGGAAGATGCTGGTTTA